GCTACTTTGTGGCTAATGTTCATCATGTTGGCAATGGCAGGTGTCTTATGATGCCTGAAATTCATGACTCGTGACTCTTAGTGATGATCGGTGGGGGGGCACGCGTCTCCTTACCAATGTGCATTGCATGTGGACAGAAGAGAAACATGAATGGAGAACAAAGAAGCAAGACAAATAACATGATGAATTCTTCATTTAATATACATATAGCACAATAAATCATCCCTTATCAACCAACTCGACCATGCATCCCTACATCTCCAAATTTGTACATACATATATAAACCTACAACTAACTAAGCTAGCTACATTTTTCAATAATAACTTAATTTGTGCCTTTGAAAGTGTGGTCCAAAGTTGAAATTTTTATTCGAAAGTCTCGTGTTCAAATATATTAGAACACGGGGTATTGTTGTTCTCCTTTGTATATACCATAAAGTCTATTGTACCTCCAAAAAAGAGGGGAAAAAATTTAGAAATGTGATTTCTTTGGTTAGATTAAATTTATATACTACTCAATATTGTTACTCAAAAAAAGGTTTCATGGTATTCAAAACATTCAATTAATTCTATTGAAGTCAGCTATACATATGTAATACGACTGTTGTATTAGGTCACATACATATTTCTTTTCTTTTATATATAGAAAATTAAGATGAATGAATATGAACTGTCCATGCATATCTAGAACCATCAAAAAGTTGGAAGGTAGCGATATTAAATACAACACCCGTACGTCATCGTGAGTAATTCTGTATATTGAAATCGTTAAATTATTTCTATTTTTATCTTATTCTAAATTTAATGATTAATTTTGAATTTATTGATGAAGAAAGGGATATAAAACAATTAAGAGTTATCATTTTTATCATATAATAAATCGTATCCATATTCAATTTAAATTTAGTAAATTTGATTTTGTAAAAATGATTAGTAACCATTTAATTGAAATTCAATTATTTAATTATGTTCATTTACAAATATAAGAAGATCTCAATCCATTATTTGTAGCTATACCGTGAAACCTGCATCAAACTGATGCATAATAAATTAAGTACGGTTGGCTTCTCAGCTTCACATGCAGGATTTCAGCATTTGACTACACGATACTTGGTGACTGGAAGCTGCTTAAGCATGCAAGAGGCAATATATATATATATATATTAACCACAAACCAGAAATGCGTCACTGCTATACCTAAGCAATCTGTGTCAAAATTGGAACATTTTTTATGACCCCAAATATAATTACAACTTCAAGAGTACGCCTTGAGGCCTAGAATTTCTCCGGAATTCAAGCTGCTGTAAAGTTAATTTAAGTGATTTTTGTTGGACAAAAAAAAAAAAATGAAGTTTCATAGAAGCTTCATACTTTTCACACGAATTGTTGAAATTGACTACTACTAGTTAGAATTTAATATATGCATGAAAATAGTAGATATTGATTGATAATGATTCTGCATTTTTATCTACAGTGACTTTCGACGACTAGGCCATAGGTCCTGGATGCTTCCATCACTCTCAGCATCAACAACCGAGAAATTTCTAGAGCGTTCTGAAATGACTTCAGCGCCAAATTTTCTACCCCTACGCCAGGAAACACGTCCGCTTTAGCTTGCAACAGAAAACACGCAGGGGAATTAAGAGGATTGATTTGAATAATAAAAATTTGTATCGTTTAAATAAATAATTTTAAATTTAAATTTTTATATATATAAAAAAATTTAAAATAATTATTTTTATCTTAAATATCTAACAAAAAAGCTACTGATTAATTTGAAAATTTTAACCTGGATATCCTAAAAAAAAAAAAAAGGAATTAGGACATGATTGGAATATATGGAAAATGTTGGTCAACTTTAAATCTTTAAAGTTTGTGCATTTGTGGATGTTGCAGCACCACATATTTGAAGCTGCAATGTCCAAAATAAATGCCTAAGAATTAGAAGCACAAGTGGGATATTAATATATAAACAGTTAACAAAAGAATATTTTAAATATATTTGTAACTATAAGCAAAATATGTGTGGTTCAAGACAATTGCAGAGTGTCGGAGAAGAAATATGCAAATTCCAGCTGAGAAGGAATTGGCTTCAATTCTTATACATAGAAGCAATTAAAGATGTCATAATTTCATATTGAGAAATTCCAGCCACAAATGAAGTAAGGTCTCGAAATTTCTACTGGATTTCAGCTGTCAAGGGTGACTAAGCTAGCTGGATTTGATTAAAATTAACATGGGCTAAAAAATTGCCTGACTTTTCAAGCACGAGGAAGCCAAGTTCTTACATGATTTTGTGTCATACTATATCTATTGATGTTAAGAAAATATTTTAATTTAAAAATTTAAATTATTATGTGAGATTTTAAAAATAATTTTATATTACTTTCTAAAATATTTTTTTAAATAAAAACTTTTGAAGTTTGAAATTTATACAAACTCACATTATCATGTGCTTAATTGATTAGCTACAAAATAAATAAAAAATAATAAGATTTGAATTCGTGAACACCTAATTTATAAACTTTTAATATAATATTTAAAAAATATTTCAATTAAAAAAAATTAAACTATTATAGAAAAATACAAAAATAAATTTATATTACTATCTGAAAACTTAAAGATGTAAAAGCTTATTTGGAAAACAGCAGACAATCAGGAATGGACTAGTTTATAATCGAGGCTGATAACAACTGAATGAGAAATTGATGGTCCAGGGCACTAAAAAGAACAAAACGCACTAATCAGGTGAAGTGTTGAGCAGGTAATAGGGAATGAAAAATAGCTTTACATGAATATTGCTGACGAAAATTAGATATTGATGCTTCGCTTCTTACACCCGCAATTACTCATTCCACATTGGACCACAAGGTCACCTAAATTTTTTGTACACGGCCAGGCTCCTTGTCCTGAAAAACACCCTGAAAGGAAAGGAATAGAATAGAGTTGGATCAGTTGGACTGATAACGCAGTAAGAAGCTGCTTCCCGCCGAAAATTTTGAAAGCTTCAATTTTTCTCAGACCCAAACCTTACGTGTCAAGAGCTTAACGACTGGTCCCTTTTCATCAATGGCGACATATATACAATATCTGTGCAGATGGTAGAAGAACTCTTCTGTATTTTGTCTGCAAAAACAAAAAAACGTCGACGTGTCGTCCATCTAATTCAGCCACCTCTCATGTCCATATCATCTTCCTGATATACCTGTACATATTGGTGATTTCATGGCATGCCTCATCCACATGAATGCAACAATATACAAATCAACCAAAAGAAATTTTAAAAAATCTCCACGACCTAATTAATTTCTTGGCATTGCCAATGTGATAAAAATAGGAGGCAAAGATAGAGGTATCGTTGCATTATTCTTTATTTGTTGCATATGTGAATGTGATAGTTGGATTCGTGTTATATGATGATGCTGAACTTTAATCATGGAGCTTCGACGTGGCGATTCGAATGCCAGAAATAACTAATTGGGTATAATATATGTTGTCACACTGGGTTAAACTATAGTGTAAACCAATAATATGATTTAATAAAGCAGCAGGTAAGGGTAGCAAATCAGATATGCTGCCTGAAGATGGAAGAAATGTGTCAGCCCAATACCAGGCAAAGACATCTAAGAATTAGTAACGTATATGGATGGAACTGGCAGCAGACAAGTACATTACCAATAGTATACAATGCCAGCTATACAATGTTATTTCTTTGTCAGAATAGAGCACTAGGACCAGATCGGTGTACATTGTTTTATTTATGCCCAAGGATGATAAAAGGGAAATCGACCACGTCTTGCAAGGATTAGCCGCCTCCGTTTGCTTGCTTACGCCATGAGATCGCAAAGTGGTAGATATGCAATCCATGCACGTGGGGTTTCACTTGAATCGACCGTCAAGAGTCAGCATCGATCAATTTGCAGCCAAAGAGAATGGAAGTCTTGTTTGTGTGTTAGCTGATCATTTATATGCATGATTGAAACCACATTATATAAGGATATGTTATGTTATATACACTGAGTACGCATGGAATGAAAAGTAGAGTTGTTGACAACTGGAAAAGAGAAAGATATGTCTTATGGTTTGCAACACTCAAAACCCTACTAATTGATCATTCAACTTGAAGTTAATCTTTAATACAGTCCAGTTCAGTCGCTTGCATAATAAATAAGCAAGGGACCATCCGTGGTGGTCATGGCCGCCCCTGGAATACGGATAAGACATATGTAACATGCTTAAATAGATGATTAAAATGTTCTTGCTTTATTTGATTGCCCTATGTACTTAAACTTAACTATATATGTGTGTGTTTAGATAGATGGTTGAAATGCCGTTTCTTTATTAATTTGATTGCCGTATGTACTTAACTACGTGTGTGTGTGTGTGTGTTTAGATAGACCATAATGAGGTGATGGCTGTTCTGTGATGTGCACCGAAAGAATGGCAAATTAATTAGCTTGATTTTGAACACCCAACTATTTTTATCAACATGCAATTTATATTAACTTAAGGGTGGTCCATATATACTAATTATTACGTAGTATTTTGAAAAACAAACGGTATTGTTGTTGTTGTGGTTGATTTATGTCATTTGGATCTCGTCCTAGCTAGTCAACATGCATAGCTAAACTTTGCAATATATATATATATATTTCTCATGTGAATTTCATCATTGATTGGTCCCAAATAAAAATATATTCATTTCGATCTAGATGCTTGGTACAATCCTAATGCCTTGTTACAGGATGGGTAATGACATCCTAAAATTCGTCAAAACATTGAAGAAAACAAACCAGTTGGATTGGGCCGGTGGCAAGGGGTTTAGAGAACAACTAAAACAGAATTCGACTTCTGAGAACTAGGGGAAAAAAAAAGCATAGGCCTAAACAAATCAATTCAAAAATATATGCATATATAATGGCCGCTCAACTGATCGAATTCGACTGGTCCCTTTTTTCCTTTTTTTTCCTCTCTTCTTGGCTCAAGGGGAGAATTCTTTATCATACTTCCATGATTTCTGTACCAAACATGAGGGAAAACCCATGAAACTCTATCATAGTAACTCTCTCAGTAGAATCAAACCAAGCTAACGAAGCTAGCTCGGATCTCTTGCGTTTTACTGTTCTGAAACCTTTCGATCTCCAGATGGTTCCAAACAACATACTACTCAGACCTGTACATAACACGACATATTGTAGCAAACACCAGTCTCTGTTTGATAACTTGCAACGTGCTTTGAAGAGAATTAACTAAACAAGGAAAAACACAACGATTAACCATATGAAGCTTTGGTTTGTCAACGAGCATCAACTCAAATGACATTTTGACACTTGAGGCAACTATTTGGTAAGCGGTCAACTTGATCTATCATGTAGCAGTAGAGTCTACAAGTTAAATGTAGAAACACATGATGCAACACAATGAATTGGTGGTTGATGAGCACCAAAAAAACAAAACCTTGCTACAAATCAGAAGGTAAATAAATGTTACATGTGAATCGATCATAAAACAAAGATACAAAACAAAAAATCATTACAAATGGAAAACTAAAACTATTTTTCGTTGCCTATATCTGAAATTATGCCGAACTGTTGATATCTATTCGACTCCATTTGAAAAATATATATAAATTTACCCCAAAACATGCAGGCCTGAATTAATTCAAAGCTCTCCATCAGTAACCTGCAATGGCAATGTTAAATTGGTTTAAGAGCACAAGCTGTGTCATCTAGCAAAGCTGAAAGAACTTCAGCACCAGACACTGGTAGCTATGAGAAAATCAACAGGGAAGTTGTTTAGCAATGATTACATCCAGGCAAGAAAAAGCAAGCTCATCAGCTAATACCAAAATAATCATAAGCAGAGGATGATTATCATACCAGGTTAAGCATTCAGTCCTCTTCCATAGGTACTTCTGGGATATCAAACCTGTCTTCCTCGATTGTTTTATTGATCACAGAAACAGGTGATGGTAAAAGGGTAGTCAAGGAATCACGAATTTCTCCAACTGAGTATGATTGCAGAACCACGCAAGAGAGAATGCAAAATGACACCAACAGTAATTTCTATTATAATTCTTTTTGAAAAAAAAAATCACTCCATAAAATCATTGACTATGCCTGTAAAGGTACATCAGCACCTTCACAAAGTGGTGTGCACACTGTTAATTTGTGATTGAAACTCTAAAAAACCTTAAATACAGTGAATAAAACACACATGAAGTTGACGAAATGCATGTAAAAACATTATACTTGTAAGCATGAAATAAAAGATTTTAAACCATCAATATCCACAAATTGAAAAACAAAATAATTCGTAAGAGATGAGCTCAAGTGTGATAGAAGGCATGAAGGCATGAACTTTTATCGAAAATAGTTTTAACATTCGTTCCACAGGACTTGTGAAAATAAACTTCTTAGCCCGTAATCAATAAGACGAATTCAGTCCACCAATCTCTTTAGCATTCACAAATAAAGGACATGCATGACTATGGGCAAACATTAAAAGTAACATCAAAATTAGAGGCCTTTAGACTCCACTAATCCATACCATTATCATCCTTATTCCATAAATATGGCATTTTTTAATACATTTTCCTACTTCATAATTTTCTGATAAACCAACACCTATGATATGCAGAAAAATCCATAAAAAATGTCACCTCATACAAGCATAGCATAGCATAACAAAAGATAAATAAATAGAACAAGCAAAGAACCAATAAAGACGAATGGAAGCTTTAAATTTTGCACGCAAAGGATATTTATTGACATAGGATCATCCTTCTCGCCACGATTGCGGCTATTGTCTAGCTCTCTGATTATTTCTGGGGTTACCTGGAATCAAAATGGACAGATTTCAAACATTTATATGAGATCATATCCAATGAAATAAAATAGATATATTTACAATATTATATATGCATAAACATATCAGAGAACTATCTGATGGATGATGGTCTCACTAGTTTATGTTTTTGCCTCAGAACTAGTCTTCTAAGGTTATCTTTATCTTCCTTCTGCAGTTCATTCTTGTACCTGTGAGGATTTCAATAGCAATTGTATGAGTTAAAAGGCAAGCATGGATGGTTTTCATGCAGCTACTTAATTTAATAGCAAAAAGATCATAATGCAAGAGATATTAGGAAGAAACATCTCATGTCATACTATGCTGCTAAAAGGAGGAAATCTCAAGTTCTCAGCAAATATGCCAAGAAAGATGAAAATCCAGAAACAAGGGAGGGACAATTAAATATACTATCTTGACTTTGCCTCTTCTGATGCTGCCAAAAATTTACGAGACCATTAAACAATGTCAGTTTGCAGAATTCACCACACGGTGTTAATGCACAGGAGTCTTAATCTTCGGTTGTGATGCAGTGCAAGAACAATTATTTCCCAATTATTGGAAATCTCAAGTTCACTGATTGCAGAAGTTCCAATAACAAAGTTTTCATTATTGCTAAGGCATGTTTTTGGAGGATTTTGTTTCCTTCGTTAGTTTAGGAATCTTCTAGAGTTTTCATGTGCCTATCTATAAAATCACATTCTATGATGGCTGTTTAAATCAATGAAATTGATTATCAAGACCTTACAAATTGAGTGTTTCACCTAGTGGATCTCTAGGCACTCTTCTCTTTTCCTCACAGATTCAGGGAACCCCCAGTGGATCTCTAGGGTTTTCTATTTTTTATTTTTTTCATTCCCTTCACCTGTTCTACATCAATTGCATCTCTTCCAAAATCAATCCAAGCTCCAAATTTTTTTTTTTAAAAAAAAGCCCAATTTCTTTTATTGCTGCCCCAAGGAAAAAAAAATACTTATAGACATGGAAAAGCCACATTACTGTTAAAGGAACACCACCAAAGGATCCACTATGTAAAACATTCTATTTTGCAAGGTCACAACAGCACAAAAACCAAGGTCGCAACAACCCAAAAACCCTAGAGTAGTCCTAGAATAAATAAGGAAACAAAATCCCTACTAAAACAAAATAACAAGAAAATGCCTCAACAATAATAAAATCTTAACAATTGCAACTACTTTCAAATGGAGAACTTTCTTAACTAATGACAAAAGTTCAAAATAAATAAAATTACAGATAATTCGAAAATAACCCTTCTTGAACTGCATCTGGTTGATTTGGCAAAAAAGGTCCATACTAATTACTTTTCTACATTGATTGTTTCTTATTAGGTATCAGACAGAGAAGGAAACCTACAAAAACACATTCAAAATACAGTAAAACAGAACTCTGCACCCTCAGGTTACATGTAAGCATAATAAAAACAAGGCATAAGGAACGACCTGTACACATTACTACATGAAACAGTGCAACTGAAACAATGCAAGAGAGAATGGATGTGCCTAAGTCTAGAAAGAAACACCCTTTAGCTCAAATTCAGAAACTTAAAAAATTTATAGTTCATACGTTCCAGATAGATTTCAGACAACTAAACAGAAGCAAGGCAAGATAAAAAAAATCACAGAAAAATAACTAACCTTTGCACAAATGAAAGAAGTGATTGTTGCCAAATTACAGGCATTATTCTTGTATCATCAAGAAATCTCATAAAATGAGCAACAACTGCATCAACTACACGATATGGCAAGGCATATTTCTTGTCCAATAGAAGCTTGATAAAATAACTGCAATAGTATCATTGTCAAATAAAATTCAGATCATTTGGGGAAAAAAAAAAGGGCAAGAGATACTAAATGGAAAAGATTTAGCAAATAATTCACTCTTGAAATAGCTATAGCCTATACCTTCTGGGATTAAAACATGGAACTGCATTACACGGGTGCAGGCATAGACCATTGTTTCAGAACAGTACTGCACTTCTTGATATTGCCAATCATTTCATTTCTCACCTTCTCATAATTACAAGTTTTCTTCCCAGCATTTTAATTAAAGTTTATTTGCAACCATCAGTAATTCTTTGGAACAATGTCACATCCAGAAATCCACAGTAAGTATTAACTAGGAGTTCACTACACAAGTCATGACCAATCTTACTAAATCAGGGGGTAGGCCTGACTCTTATCAGGCATCACTTTTGAGACCATATTTATATAAAATTACAGCTTAATGCCCTCTGTGTGGGATAATTTGTAGTAGCATTAGAATCTCTGAGAAAGAAAGGGGCAACATAATTCATCACATTGTGCTTCGCATCACATAAAACAGGCAAAACTTTCTACAGCGCTTTACCATGCAAATGAAGACCACCAGAGACTGTTCAGGTGCAAAGACACAACCCTACCTTTATACATAGCATGGATGAGCAAGTAAATTTGCTAAATGTTCTTTTTTCATATAGTTTTTGTTGCATGTTAATAATTTATATACCTTGTTGTGCCGCAATATTCCATCTCTGCAAGCTTCAACAGTGCAACACTGCAATTCCATCGAAATGTTTGAGTTAGACTCTTCCCCAAGGATTCAAAACTTTGGAGGAAAAAAATTGCAAAATTCCAGCAGCTACAGAAACATCATATCCTCGCAACCTGAATCTTGAAATTATCACTTGTATGTGTCAAAAATGAGGAAAAACAATGAAGCAGAATGGTTCGAAATGTTTCAAAGCATTGGTGCAACATCATAAACTCCATATGTAATCCATGAATTCTTATCTTTATTAACTAGAATTCAGCATGCCGATTTACAGTGGGTCAAGACATGCAAGATTCAAGAACTTTGGAATATGGATAGCAGAGTCAGATCCACTAGGTCTGCGGGTTCAACAGGAGGATTATCCAGTCATACATCAGCTCAAAAGGGGCTTGTTGTGTCTGCTTAACAAGTAATAAGATGGCTATATAATCACACATGTATGATCCTTTGGATTAACAATTAAGATGTCTACTGAAATATACATGTATGCCATCTGCAAAATTAAGCATACCATGAATGAAGCATAGGAATGGAGACCTTTTGAATAACACTTCCAACTATGACAGCCTCCCTAAGAGAGCACGTCCCTGACTGCATATCAAGTAAGGAAAAAGGTTATATTAAAGCACAATTAGCAGTTCATAACCAGCCCTCATATAAACAAGAAGTCAATGAACTTCATCATGCTGAGCTTAGTCTAGTCTATCCCATTGTGTTTTTGTTCATACTTGAGATTTTTGCTCTTGTGAGCCCCTACTCTTTTGCATCACTAATTGGATTATAAACTGCAATTTCAATTCTCTGCCAAATAAAACCAAAAGACTTCTACTGTCTAAGCCCTAACTAACCCTGCCACTCTGGTCCTGCATTGTAACAAGTGAATTACAAAAGCAGTTTGGATCTAAACACCAAAAGGAAAGGCATGAGAGGAAAGAGGATAGCAGTGAACTAATGCATGTTCAATCTCAGAAGTAATATTCCAACCGATTAGTGTAGGTATAGAGAAGTATCAAATACATACATGTTAGCTGCATAACAAATATTCCTACCATCTTCTTGTCCATGTGAAAATAATTCCAAGCATTCAACTATTTGTCTATCCCAGAGCATAATAATTATTAGAGCAGCATAAACAACTTGTCATGATTGGGTGAAGTGGAAGTAGTCAGAGAATGAAACACCACATATTAGCAATTCAGCCAGAAATCAAACTCCAAAGATTAGAAACATAAAGAAGATTTCATGTTAGTATATACCTTACACAATGGGATCAATATTCCCTTGTTGAATGCAGCAGGTTTGTATAGAGACTTCTTCAAAGCTTGGTACAGGCTGAAATGCAGCCTCTTATTCGTCCTGATATCATCTCTAACCCTAGGAAGTAAGACAAGCCTATAGAAGCGCTCTGCCTTCTTTGCACCCAAATTGGAAGAGAAGATTCTCGTGGCTTGATACATTGCAGTTGGTGACCATTTCTGAGGTTCAGTCAGGTGCAAGACATCCTCCCAAAGTTGCATAGAAGGGATGTGTTTAAATGCTTTAGGTATCTTTCCAGCTGTGTATTTACTCAGATACTCGCCAACTCTACACATAATCATACCAAAATGAGTTCATCATATTCAAAATGCTTTTCTTCACAAATCTTTTATTAAAAACGTTCTTCTGACAGAAAATGAAAAGAATATGTTCAAGAAGAGGACAGCTAATCTACCCCTTGTACAACTCTATGAGAGACTGGTCCAACTTAGGCATAGGCTGTGTCTCTGCAATCAAAGAAAGGTATTCAGTATAAACAGTTAACTATACAGATTCAAACAAGTATAGTAAAGTAAACACAATATTAAATGCACCAGTTAAAGATGTCAATAAAGGGTTTCTAAAATAAGCTAAAACTCATTTCCAAAATTAAAAACAAAGGAGAAAATCATGAAATAATATGAACCTGAAGAAACATTTGCCTCAGTCTTTTTAATTCTCTCAATAATAAGGTCGGCAAGTGTTCGTTGCGGACCACGATCCTTTGATAAAAATGCGTCAAGCAATTTCTCATCATTCTCATCAATCTCATCCTGTTAAAACACCCAAATTTACTTCTTTTACAAAACAAATTAAAACTTCAAAAAAAAAAAATCTATAAGAAAACAAACATGCAACAAAATTGACAGCAAACAGTAAGCAAAATAGCTGGAAAAAAAAAAAGAATTTAAGAAAGCAAAAGTAAATACTAACAGGATAATCGTTAAACTGGCTTTGAGTCTCGGAGAAACCACTAAAATCATCAATTTCATCCTCGGCATATTCCTCTTCTTCAGGCTCCGGTAATCCTTCCTCCAAAGCATTAAAATTAGGGTTTCTCTCTTCAGTTTCCTCAGCTTGAATCTCCTTCTGTTGAATCAACGCTTGTTTCAAGATTTTCGAGCTCATCCCCGAGGATATCATCTAGTACAAAATCATTACAAAATTAGAGAGAAAAACAAAACCCAAAAAAGCGAAAGTAAAGTCATTGAAAATAAAGTGATGATTACTTTTTGTTGTTTCTGGTGCTGTTTTGATGCTTTTGATCGAGTTTTTCTGGAGGCAATAGAGTCTGTATCCTCTGGTAGGAAAGGTTCTGGATTTTGCTGCCTCTCTCTTTTCTTCCCCATTGATGGAAGATACAGTAAGTTACCTTGCAGCTAAATTAGAGAAGAAAAAACTGAACTTCTCAGACAGATATGGTGCTCTACTTCTGCTTGGTGGAAATAAAGAAAGAGAAGAAGAAGCCAATTGTTAAACCCTAGTAGTAGTGGATTTTATGCTTTGTTATTCATGGGCTAAGTTTTTTGGGTTTAATAAGTTTCTGGGCTGGCTTGATTATTATGGGCTAAATTTTTGGTTTTTTAAGTTCTGGGCTGGCTTGATCATCTTTGGCTAAGTTCTTATTTCTGCTAGGTTTGGCCCAACTATGTGCGTTGCAAATTTCTAGCAAGATTTCCAGGCTACAAAAATGTACTATTTTTTCCAGAATGATTTAACTTTTGATGCACACAAAGAAATTTAACGTCAAGAGGTACCAAAACTAACTTTGTGCTATGAAACATAGGTGCTTAGAGCATATAATAACAACAAGAAACAATTGCATAAAACCCTTGAAGTATTTGATAAGATTCGTCCATTGTTTTCTCATAATTGTTGGCTCTAATTCTTATTTGATAACCAAAAAAAAATTATGTGAAATCCCTTTGTAGCCTTAGTTGACATGATAAACAAGTTAAGCCTTTGACAATTCATAACAAGCTGTGTACCACGGCTTAAAATTTAATCAGTCTCTGTACTCTTAGTTGACAACAATCTGAATTTTGGATATGCCATGAGAAACTAATTCAAAAAATAGTGGTTTTTCACCCACTATATTGAACAAAAAGCTGTCCTGTGAAGTATCAACAGAAAATTCCCACTTCAGTCTTGCATTCGATCTCAATTCTCAAGGCATCATCACCCCACTTCCATTGCCTTTGTTTATGTATTATCTAACCTAATTTGAGTAATGATTGGGATCATTAAAATTTTCTAACTAATAAATCACGCATAGAAATATAAAGTTAACATTACAGCTGATGCCATTGTCTCTATTCCTGCTTTATTCGTTACAAAAATTTTTGTTATACCCAAGGAAGCATGGCTCCAACTTTACCACACCCCATTTTGATGAAACCCTTTTTGAGGCCAAGTCAACCACATTCAATTCACTACAAAAGCAAGGCATGCTGAAGGACATCAGTTCTTCTTGCATAAACCTATCCGATTTTAAGGTCAAAATTATTCAGCTCAAAAGCTTCAAAGCAATACCTACAGAACTGAGTCACAGCTTTGAAAGTCTAGAAGGAAAAAAACACGAAAATGAGAATCATACTCCATCTCTATCAAATAACCAAGTTTTAAGAGAATTGGAGAGAAAAAATCAGCAAAGATATATAGCATCTGTGGGCCATATGATCAGTAGTAACGATTGCATGACCCACTACTAGATAGCAACCAACACATTAAAAGCTGGAAGCTTCTTTTCCTTTCAGATTCTTCATATATGATGGTATTTGGTAACTTTCACACCTTATGTACGAAGACAATGTCCTGCAAAATATCATTGCAAATGTGACTTGTAAGAGGAGCAAAGATTCCTTTTTGAAAGAAGAGAAACAAATGAAACACTGCACTGAGCTGCGCAATGCATCAGCAGACCTGATCAACTTTTAAAAGTGACCCATGTCCTTCCATGGCTCAATACAGCAGTGTATCCCTCTTTCTATCAGCAACATTTTCTGCACTTTTTGGAGGCGGCAAATTTGGGAGCACCCAAGCTGGTGATGAGCCAAGCCACAATCCTTCACCCGTTTCTTTGTGTTTGAAGTCAGGAGATTTTGGATTTCTCTAAATATAGCAAACAAAGGGGCAAGAAGTTATGAACGAACAATTACATCAGATGAGTAAAATCTGCAGTGTTACCTTATCAAATCTGTTGTCCCACCATTTATGAGGATTTTCCACCAAGTCCTTCCAGAATTCTTCCTCTAAATCACGCCACAATGAAGATAGTAGTATTAGGAAACAACAAGATAAAAGCCAAAATGTCAGCAGAGTAATCCAAACTCCAAAGTCTTCCCAGTAAATTAGAAGTTGGAGAAAAAAATGTAGAATGAGAATGCCAACATTATCAAGGGTGATATATAGGACAGTATCTTTCTTTCCTTAACTATAAAGGAAAATGAATTATAGCTGACAAATTCTTCTAGAAAGCAAATTTTTTACCTTCATTTTTTTTTTAGCTATGCTGGATAGACAAAATTAAATAGAAATAGCACAAAGGGGTGCTGCCCAAGTACATGGGAAGTAAACAAATAGGAGTGCCAGGGCACAAAAAAAAAAAAGAAATGAGAAAAGAAACTCTGCTGTTTTATCTTGTTTATAGAGGTTTCCCAATTAATTATCAGGGACATAGCTAAAGAAGAAGGTATTTGCACACTCCCTTCAATATTTCCTTTTATGTGGAAAGTTAAAAAGAAAAGGTAAAACGATTCCCATCAAGTTCCTCCATACCAACTTGACAAGTTAAGTAATAGAAAAGTTTAGGAAGGAAAGAGGTGGGGCTGGCCATCCTTAAACCATTAGTTTCCTTACAGCTGTGTGTGTCTGCTCTGCTGGTGTTCTGGTCACAGAAAGCCAGAATGACAAACCCATCTTCAGTGTTCCATATAAACTATTAGTATTTAATGCCATCTACCATACTACAAAGACATGCTGCCCAATGCCACTTGAAACAAGTCCACAAATTGGAATGAGAATAAATGTCTTCGTCAAAACGAGACTCATCTGCTACAAACAATCATTAAGCCTTCTTCACAAGCATGTGGCTACGTATGTTTATACCAGTATGGTGCCATTTGCCACCATGGGACAGGGGCAGCTGATGGCTCCCATAAGATTGTTCTCTAAGCAAATATTGACATCAAAAAATAACAAGCATCCACGTTACTATATATGCCAATTTGAAGGGAAGCAGCATAGGGAGGCCAGCTGAAGGTAATTTGAGGATAGTAGCAAAGTTGTTTGTACCTTTTTGCCGCTTTGCTTGTTTTGTTACGGCAGTCTTAACATCAAATTTCACCTTTTCAAGTCCTGATAAAATCCACCTTGGCGCCCCAGTAAGCCAGACAGATTGGCCACTATTCTTGTGTTTAAAATCTGGGTGCTTTGGTTTTACCTGTTCAAAACAAGAAGCAAACAGATAACGGATCCAAAAATATCAACTATACAAGAGCTTGTCTAGAGGGTGAATCATTACCAATCCACTGCACTTACTACTACGATAATCCCACCACTGATTTGGATTTTCAAGAAGGTCTATCCAGGAATTCGATCCAGAATCACCATCTCTCTTCATGCTGGCTGAAAGATAAGTTAGTCATAGCGCAATCAGCATCATGAATGAAGATAATAAAAAAAATATATCTAATATTGATTTACCATAATCATGTAAGGGCCCTCCTTGTTGCTGCTCAAGTAGACTTTTCTTCATTTGGAAAGACCCCTCAATAAAGTTGATACTGTTCACCAAAACCTAGCAAGAACAAGCACAGCTAGCATTATAAGCTTTCCACATATAAAGTAGCACAACACGAGCATCAAGTTTGTAAAAGAGCATCTGTTGCATCTTTTGTTAGTCTCCAGGCTATCCAAATTCTGCATCAGATAGGCATGCTAAAAAATCCCGGCCTATAATCCAAGAAGGCATCATCTTCGAGATGACCTTTGCATATGTTCAAAAAATTCATTTTCTCTGATATAATCTCCAAATCAAGTCACTGATTGGCACCAACCATTATTTATTTTGTTTTGACTTTGAGATCTTCTTGGACAGCAAGCAAATGAAAATTATCAGATCTTATTCCACCTAGTTACCGACCAATGCAAACAGGAGTGAGCAAAGGAAGATTCATATTTCAAGTAATGTCTTAGCCTGAGTTTCTTTCAGGGCATAAAGGAAAACTCTCTTCTAATCAAAGTATGCAAAGCCTAAAAACCTTAAAATGCTTTAGTTACCAAAACCCAAGAATCTAATAGACCCCACTCCTGATGTTATTCATTCCACAAAATAAAATGACCCAATACTTATAAGAATCCAACGCTACACATAATTATCCCAAAGCGTGGTGCGCGTGACGCTTGTGTGCATTCTTAGGTGTAAAGTTAACGATGTTTACCTGAACTTGGGCTTGATCCTGCATTTCAGGGAAAGGAGGGGGTCATTACTTAACTGCCCACCTATGTAGACAAAATCTCCTTTCTTCAAGTGTGAAGCAGCAATATGAGCCAAATCGCCTTCAAATATTATCGGAATCCTAATGTCGTAAGAGACAAACAAATCAACCAACCAAAAATGAAACATAGAAAACATCAGTAACATAATAAAACAACTCAATCAATGTGAAAGTAACAAACTTTACAGCAACTTTTACAACATAAGCAACAAAGACAAAAATAAAGACAAACCCAGAAAAGGAAAAGGAGAGAAGTGCCAAAAAAAAAAAAAAGTAAAAGAGAGTACCAAAGAGCAGGAGAATGATAAGAAGGTTCCTGGGTAATAATAGTGGCAGCCCAAAACTTGTCATCAGGAGATGAAACTTGGGTTTGAATAGGCATATTGATATATCCAATTAAACTAATGGAATTAGCAACCTTTGCTTGAAATGGAATTTCATTAGGCCTTGGAAAATCTGCAGAGGAAGGTGATTTCTTGTGTAAAGGTGGTGTTTTTGAGCTTGTAGTTGTCGGTGGGGAGTGCTCCTTTTTGGTGGTGGAGTAAGAAGGTGATTGTTGAAGCAGGAGGATTAGTGGAGGAATTCGCCTTTTCGTTGGTTGTGAGGTAGCGATTCTTGCAAGTGCCCTGCACAGAGAATTCTTCATGGCCACGACAGTGGTCTGTGTTTTTTCAGTTCGAGGCTATGGCGTGTTGTTAGAACTGTAAACCCTCTTCTAAAACCTTTTCAAGCCTTAGGGGGATTGCTATTTCCACTCACCTCTTCGAAAACCTTTTCAAAATTTAGGGGTGGCTATTTCCACTCTCCTGATTATGTTTGTGTGCGGAAGCGCGGAACCCTCTCTTTTACCCCTTGGTTGGATAATTCCTCTTGGGATGAAAGAAAAGAGAGAAAAAAAGTGAGAAAAAAAAATTATTTTTTACTTGTTGTTTAGATAAGGGTGAAAAGAAAAAGAAAGAAAATACATTTTTTTTATTTGGATAATTGTAAAAAGAAGAAAGAAAGAAAATATATTAATATATATTTACCATAATACCCCAGTGATTATATTTCTATATTTAAATACTTATAATAAATTTGTATAAATATTTTTTTCATTAAAATAACACAAATGGTAATAAAATAAAAATCTAGCATGTATAATATATCTGAAATGATATGATAGATAATGAATCGTCTTCATAGAATAATCAATAAATGTTTATTAATTAATTAATTTAATAGTCAATTTAGATTAATTATCAACATAAAATTAATTTAAATATGTATAACATGTATTATTATTTATGCATATAATAAGTTAATTGCTTTTACCCATCATTTTCTTCGGCTTTTTTTTAGAATAAACAATTACTATTTAGCAATTAAAAAAAAAAGTATATGGTAACATTGCGAACAATCATGGAAAGTCAATTGAATCACAAAAAAATGAGACAAATCACAAATAATTTTTATTTCTTCTTTTGCAATAACTTCAAAAAGTGTTTGAGGGACTCGTTTTGAGGGATATTTTGTGTCTATTTTGAGGGTTTTGGGGGGAGGTTTAGGTGGTTTTGAAGTTGGTTTAGGGGTGTTTTGTGGTGCTTCTATGGTGGTTCAAATGGCATTTCCAAAGGAGTTGCTCTGTAAGGATTTTCGGGTCGTTGGTAACGGTTTGTAGTCGAGTTTGGGGGCTTTTGGGTAGGTGTTGAGTCTGTTTTGGAGTTGGTTTTAGGCCTCTTTTTTAGGGGTTTTTGGGATTTTTTTGGGTGATTTTGAAACTTGGTTTGGGGGTGTTTGTGGTGCTTCTATGGTGGTTCAAATGGCCTTTCCAAAGGAGTTGCCTCGTAAGGGTTTTCGAGGGTCGTTGGTAACGAGTTTCAAGGTCGAGTTTGATTTTCACCCAAGTTTTAACTTGGATTCTTACTTGCTTATCACCCCGAAGTTGTGAGTTTGATTTTCTTATGTGATTATAAATCCATTTATTTTTTTCAATTATGAAAATTTCACCGCATAACTTGACGTTACTATTTTTTTTATATTTTATATCCTCAAAATCTGAAAATTTTCTTCCCGAATGATGAAAAGTGAAAATAAGCATTCTAATTTCATCACATAACTTTACACCCCTACTAATGTTATATTTTACAACATTCCCAAACCCAAATCTTTTTTTTTCCTTTTAAATATTGGCAAACCCATTTAAATGCTCATGGCCGAGTAAATTATAAAGTTCTTCTAGTTTTGAGATACGAATTAGTTTATCCTTTTTGTTTCAAAAATTAATTATTTAATCATTGTTATTTTTTATTTTATTTTGAATTTAGTTTGTTTTTTATTTTCAAAAATAAAAAAGAAAAATAAATATATATATATTATAAAAATATTGATAAAAAATAAGATATTTTATTAACATCTAGAAATTTTGAATGAACAAGAATCCATGTCACGAGATCATATTAGATGCGGCTCTCGAATTTTATTAATTACTCGTCCAAACTATACATTATAGATTTCTAGCATGAAGAACTAAAGAAAAGCATGAAGAGTAATGGTTCTCTACACTTATTGATAAGTGGTAGTTGATGGACCGTATTTTTATGAAATTCATACAAGCACAACCTCATTAGTTAAACAAAATCTTACGAGTGAGAGAAATAGAACACAAAAACCCAAAAAGCTTCTCTATAGTAATCCCCCCATTTTTTATAGCTTTCCTTGCACCGCATTGATAGCCTTAAAAACTCAATGCTTCCATAGGAATCGACCCACCAATCGTCATAATCTGTTGCTCTAACCGCAATAGACACACAACATTGCATTTGAAAAACAAAAATATTAATATAAAAGAATTCAATAACTAGATTTCTTGAAATAAATGGAAGTAAAAGTACATTATACTCACCCCGATGAGTGCTTCAAGCTTGCTCTTCACAAGACGAGTAATCCTGTTTCACTTCGCGAGCATCTCGAGCACTCGCAATCCCAGTAACTAATTACATGTAATTGAAATATTAAATATTACATCATTTAAAAATAACAATCCTTACATTCAATTGCTAATCGAGGAAAAAAAAAAGAACTTGGAAAATACATTGAAACAATAAAATAAAACAATCTGGAGAATGAAGTAAAGGAAAATAACTCACCCTTCAATGTTCCGTATCTCGCGAAGCTGCAGAAAGCAATGCAATCATTTTTAACTCTCTTTGCCCCTATGCTCGTATAACATAAAATCCAATTTTGTAAACAAAATGAGCTAAGGAATCCATCTTTTGTAAATAAAAGAAAAATGAGCCGAGAAGAAAAACCAATAATTTATAAAATTTCGTATCTAATTTTTCTAGGTCATGTCTTAGATGTGAGCTATTTTTGTCAAGTTAAATGCACTTCATATTAAATACGACCTAATACTTCAAAAAAAAAAAACACTCAAGAAAGCTTTTTATAGTTGTTTAGGAAACAAACTTATACCCGGAGCTCGCTGCCCTTCAACTGGTGAACATGAACATCTATCTTTTTGAAGTCGATACTCGTGGTGTTCTCTATAAAACAAGAGGTAAGAGAAAACTCATTAAAAAAATACAGCAAAGTTAAAATACAATCGACTATCTAGAATCAACCATAACTAAAAGGAAAAAGCTCAAAACTTTTAATCCACATCAAGCAGTTTCGGATGCTTGAGAGAGAGAGTCTCCTTACAAGGCGGATGTGAGATCGATCGAAACCTCTCGAATTTTCAAAGAAGATAGATAACACTTCAAGCAACGATATCCGGTCGCTCTTATCTTCCGTAAGTCGAACTTGTTGAAACCGGGCATCCGAAACCCCTTCTTCATAACAAATAAATCGAAGGGATTTTTAAAAGGCAAATATCCTCACTTGCCATGAGGTTTTGCCACGTTCCCGAAAATCTTATAAGCAAGTGGTCCTTGCTTAATTTCAAACTACTCGATAAACAATCATGTCCAAAACATTTATAAACTACTCGGTAAACAATCTACCACCGACAATAACTAATCCGAGCACACACCATTTCCATAATTTCAAACTCCAAATCTTTGAATTCGACGAACCTATCAATGGTCAAGCTAGCAATTAACGACTCTATAATGCACACAAATGCAAATAACTCAATCAAGGGTACTAGATTCCACTTCTTACCCATTATTTTACTCAAATTAAGACTCGTCGTCCTATAGACCTCCTCATCATCATCTTCCTCCAGTCTTGGCGATCCAATCAAGTGGCATTGTCCTCCGCCCTCACACCTTATAGATCAAACACAACCAATCAATTGAATGACAAAGAACAAAATCAAACAAAACATTACCTCGCCTCGCCGATGCTATAAACTTTGGAGGAGCTACGAATGGGTGTAACCTTCGCCGCTCGAAAACACCAATGAGACTCCGTCCGATGCAAGAAACTCGGAAAAAACAAAAAACAAATTATGGATCGTTGCTAACATCTTAAGCGAGAGAGAGAGAGAGAGAGAGGTGGGTTTGCACATGCGAGTTTTAGAGTCGTTTTGGTAACGGATTCGGCGAGAAAGGGGGAGTGGGTTTGCAGAGGCGAGATCGATAGAGAAAAAGAAAAGAACGACGAGCAAGGGCGAAAATGGAAGATAAGGTCTACGAGAGATGAGTTTCGTGGTCGTTTTGGTAACGGATTTAGCGAGAGAGAGGGAGTGGGTTTGCAGAGGCGAGATCGGCGGACAAAGGGAACGGCATGCAAGGGCGGAAACGGAAAAAAAATCCCTTTCCTCTCGTTTTTCTCCTCGTTTCCTCCCAATTTTGGAAGGAAAATGGGTCCCACCATTTTTGCATTCTTTATTATTATTTTTTTCATTCCACTCGCTTTCCTCCCTTTTCCCAAACGACAAAAACATTTTTTTCCACCTATTTTTCTTTCCTCTCTCCCACTTTCCACCCTATCCAAACAAGGGGTTAGATCGCTAAAATCACTCCTTGTACTTTAAACATTTGGTCGGATCACTCGTGGCCTTGTACTTTTACCGATAATGGTTTAATGACATTACGGAGTGTTTGATACGGAGGAATCTCAAATTTCCCAACTAGGATATATTATGGAAAAGATATATGCATGGAGAAATAATGAAGATAAAACTCCAATTTTAATGTCTTTTTTTCAATATTCAATCCATAAATTTTTTTATTTCAATACTTAAGTTTTGATGTTTCTTATATATATATATATATATTCGCCTCTTGCACTTATTTGTTGCTTTATATATGTGTGTGAGACTAGAATACTTTTGTACCTAATAAATTCTGATTTAATTTGTCAAAAAAAAAAAAAAAGCTGTTCGTTGATGAAGATATGCATGATTGCTCAACAAGATTACAATATAGACTACGATCTAAATGAGGATAAGTTATCCTTTCAAAAAATTGATTGTGAACTTCCAAAGGATTAATCAATGCAACTATTATTATATGTAAAATGAGGTATATTAATTTTTTAAAATCAACTATTCAACTTCTTAATTAATGAATGAAATAATTTTTTTTTAATTATAGGATGATATTAGTTAAAATATCAATCTTATGTTCAAAATGAATGTATAAATAATTGTATGATGGCCATTCACTTGATTAGGATTTTGTCAAATAAGATGAAGTTCACTAGAAGACTCATTTTCCT